CATAAATAAAAGTTTTTTTTTACACAACATATTCGTACGAACACATATGTATATAAACTTAGAAAGTAGCAAAAAGAAAATAAAATAAAAAATCGCACAGAGAGAAAGCTAACAAGGGATCGAAGGAAATAAGATGCGAAACATAACTGGTATTAAGGTAGAAAATGGTACTACCAGATACATGAAAGAAATGTTTGTTATATTTATAATTTGAATCTCGATTTAATATGAAAACGGGTGGGAAGGAGAAGGCATAAAAGGCGCTTTGAGGAGGCACAGGGAGAGACTGTGCAAGTGTGTATATGTGTGTTTGTGTGATGGTTTGAAGATGAATCTTGAGGAAACCGCAGTCTGTGCCCAATGCACGGGTAAAGGACGAGCCTTAACATCCCTGTCTATTTGTCGAATAAAATACGGGGAACCTGACAACCGCATAAAACGTACATTATTCTCATCTTTTTCTCGCTCGCGGATTCGGCGTCGAGCACCCGAGTAGCGCTAGGCAAATCTATCCTTATCAGCCGCAGACGGACGTTACCTCTTTGCTCATTCTTGCGCGGGGAATAAAATGCTTAAATTTCCAATAATCGGCGAAAAATAAAAATGATGATTTTATACGTTACGATAATCGCTAAAAAAAACTTGTTTCCCCTTTAAATGCATTTTCCCGAATCGATACAAATTTCTAGATGTGCAATAGTTTTGAAACATTCATAAATTATTATTAAAAATATGCTTATTTTTTAATATAATACGTTTTTGAAATATATAATAAGGAAAGTTTATTAAACTCAATTTGATGCTTTTTTTAATCGGCACTCTACAATTCTTCTAAATAACCTTTTATAAATTATTTTTATTTACATTTATTATCTATTATTTATTATCTACATTTCATATTTGTTGATCTGTGATCCTTTCTATTAGCATGCATTTTGATTAATGCCCTTTGTCGATCTGACATACATTTTAAATTAATAACAATAAATTACGAAATAATAATGACTCTGTCAACATGCATTTGACAATATTAATCATGTAAAAACGTGCCACTTTATAGACAAAGTATACCGTATATTTATAATTAAATATTATCAGCACGAAAACATCAGGAAATAACTGAAATTTCTATGTTACAAATTGAGTTTATACATTTTCTCATTTCCATGGCTTTATATTACAGCTATGATGCGACGTGCGGTATGCATTACGTAGCTAAGTTCGATAACCGGAGAAACATGATAATCATCAACGTATATCGCGTACATTATGAAATTATTGTCAAAAGGCATCACATCGGCCCGACGTTGCGACCACCATTAAATTTATCCTAAATTGACCTAAATTTACCTATTATCCTAAATTTTCTGATAATCGATAGAGCTCTTAAAAGCCGAAACAATATCCGATACGATAATCCTGATATTGTTAGAATGAAATAAGCATAAAATTATTACACAATTAATTATTATCTTGTAATAATATATATTGTATATTAATATACTATTAATTATTATATATTAGTTATTTATCTTATTTATTATGTTATTTCTATTTATTTGTTTCTTTTATTTGTTTTATTTAATATTTTTCCAAAAAGTGTGTTATCAATCATTGAACATAAATAATTTTCATGTACTAAACCAACAATTTTGAAATTAACTAATTAAAATATCTCTGATTATCCAAATTGTTTACTCGGAAATTAACTCGCGCATACACAACTGCGACGGTAAATCTTCCGTCTGACAATTCGCGGATCGGTAAAATATAATGTGCAAAACGAAGTACGAAAGAAATACAAGTTATTGCATTTCAATGAAAGCTTACTTTGTCCGCATTGGCGTGCTGGACGCGAGCTTATAGGTTGGAACAACCAAGGTTGATTTGTTTTTCTCGACTTTGCCAGGGCAGACATTAAGTGTACTCAACGTCTTATCGTGGCACCGCGCGGATTTTGGTGCCATATTTCATGCGGCAGGCAACTTTTAGTGCTCTTCTTTCGTATTTACTCGACCGGTTTGCGAAAGGTACAATAGAGAAGATATAAATCCGGTAGATTTATGAAGTCGGTGCAGTTCATTGAGATACGGGAAATAAACCGGAGTGGCGAGAAGTGAAAAAAAGTAATTGGTCACATTTAGAGAATTTATTTCAAAGTGATTTAAATCGACTTCTCGATATTACGTGAACATTTATCTGTGAACCAGTTATAGATGAATAAAACTTTTCAACATAAAAATAAGATAGTATATTTCATCGTTAGTTAATATTAAAAAAATTTTGTGATGAAGAAGATTTTCATCGTTTTCACAGAAATTCGTATATTATGAATCATAAAAAATTAGTATTAAAAATTTATTTTCGTCTATTTAAAGAGTTCGAAAGTGCTTCATAGGGATCATGTTAAAATTACAAAAATCTTTTTACGATATAAGTAAATAATACCCTGAATTACACATTAATGTTCAAAAGTGCCGCGAGTATACCGCCGGTAGTAAAGGCCACCGTCAGTGCGAAGTACAGGAACCGAAAAATAAACATCGCCATGAACCAGGAGTAATCAAACGGTGCACCGAGAAGAACGCACAAAAATGCATGCGAGAAGTGCTACCACATTCCACGATTACACGCGCACACCCGCATCGCGCCCCGAGCAAATCGTACCGCGGCAGATAAAAGTCCATCGTATTCTTCGTTCTGGTGGTTCTTGGTGGTTGAATATTAAAAACAGGAGTGGAGAACGAGACCACGAAGCGAGCTTTATTCGTTCAGCGGGAACCACGAGCTTTCGAACAACGGCGAGGAGCGTCACGCGCGGCAGCGCGATTGTTTCGTGTAAACGTGCACGTCTCGATGCGGAGACAAGTGCAACCGGCGGAACGAATGATGCGTTCGTTTCTAGCAAAGGAAAAAAAAAGAAAAAAAAGAGAGACGGTAAAATGCTTTAGGGCGAACTTTTAAGACGAATGCATATTCATGTTGTCACGATGCGATCGCCGGGTCCAAGTGGCGCAAATTAATATGCATAAATTCTGCCATTACCAGCGACTCAGGCAGCGGAAACGTCTCGGCTCCCGATTTATCCGGAGTCTGACCCACTTGCTGAAAATTCTTGAGGACAGCAACATTTTTATTCAATACATTATCCATACTGCTTAAGCCCGGGTGTAACAGGAATAAGAAATGCCAAGAAGTTTTTTATTACAGCAGGTGCTACGTGTCCACATTGCACGATAATTTTTAATTGGATTTATGTCAGAGTTTATGTCAAAAGACAAATGAATCAAATATTACGTATAAAAAAGATAATTTGAACATCAAAAAGAAAGAATTTCTTTTTTATGTAGAATAAATATTTTTTTAGAAGAATTAAATATTATAAGAAAAATTCTACGATTTTCGAATGTATTACTTTTAACAGTAATTAAATTTTTTCTTTATTTTTTTTTAATATATAAATTAATTATTTTTATTATATAATATATATATATATATATATATATATATATATAATATTTATATATAATATAGAAACGTTAAAAAATTCTTAACGTTTTTAGAATGGATATAATAAACATCTTCGATTATTCGAATGCGACAAAAGTTTTTAGAAAAGGATTATGTGGAATGTAAAAATGAAAAACATTGGGAATAGTAAAAGTTTGTCTTTCTGACTATTCGCTGCAGAAAAATTTTTCTCTCGTATGTTATCGCTCCTAAATGTATCCGGCACATTCCTAAAAAACTTCATCAGTTGGAATTTTGCGAGAATTTAATCATTCGCGTGAAATTGAAAGGCTTTATGCAAGGTAGGATCACGTTTTCGGAAAAATTCACATACATCTCACTTTTTCATATAAAAATGCGTTATATAAAAAAAATTTGCAATTTTTTTATAATAACCAACGTAAAGAGAATTTTTAATACCACATTATATTTGAAAAAGAAATCGCTTCGATTTATGAATAACGCAATTATTTTGATGGACGAAATTCATTAAAATCAAAAATATTATTGCATAAATTAGTATAAATCAACATATCAATATCATAGAAAATCAATCATTTGAATAAATAAATACATGTTTTAAACTATTTTACATATAAATCTTTGATGACTCTAAAGATCAAATATTTAATATATTCACATATATTATTTAAACTTTTTTCTTCAACAGTATAGAAATCACAATTCCAAATTGGATATTTATAAATTATTTACATAGTAATGGAATAATAGTTACTAATTATAGCAAATATATTTTATTATGCATAATTAATTATTAAAACATAAATAAATAAATGCAGTATGAAGAACAAATGGTCCTACCAAAATGGTCATATTTTCTAAAATATTTCATTAAACTAATTTTAATTTTTCACATTAATAAAATATCCACATTATTGAAATATCGAAAAGCAGATCGCAAAGTACTTACCGAGCACGATCAGCTTCACTGGTCTGCCGTTGAGAATCTTTCCTCGATCATCTTCCAGCGTGCAGCTCCAGACACCGTCGTCCTCTAATCTGACGTTATCTATGTGCAACGCCGCGGTCGTCGAGTCGCCGATGTACCGGTGCCCGGTTCCGCTCATTTCCGTTCTCGTGTCTATCGTGATCATATCCACCGGACTACCCTCGTGCAGCCACGTCGCCGGTCGTATTCTGTAACTTCTGACAAGGGGCGCAGCGTCCGCATTATTAGTTCACCTAACAAACTTCGTTACGCCCCGATCTTCGGGCGACGAAGAGACTTCAGCTGTACCCGCGTTACTATCACAGAACGACTCTGTTTCCATAAAGGGAATAATTTCACTGCGACATATTCAACGCGGAAGCTAGTGTTACCATAAAGTGAAACCGGATATTAATAACGCATTAATATGATGAGGGAATATTATTATGCAGACATGTACGTTGAAAAGATATGAAGGCTTAACTTTATAAAAGAACTACTAAAAGAAGAAAAGGAAAATCATCGATATATTATTCTTCAATTTTATCTGCAATTTATCTGAAGTTAAAACATGATATTTCTCATTCACAGAAAGACTGATTTTATTTTTTTAAATTTCAAATATCTATGCTTTATGACATAGACGATTTTAATGTTATCTCAACAATTCCTGGTGATCGCGATAGATCGATTAAAACGGACACGCAAGTTACCTTGCTCCTGGCTGCAATAATCTCGAGTAATTTCCTTCCAGTTCGCAGGGTAAGATGACTTTACTGTGGGGCTTCTCTACAATCTCCATCGGCGAATTGGACAACGTGTCGACCGTATCTGAGGACAGAGCAATGTTGGTCGTACTGGAAGAACTGGTGGACCATGACTCCTCTTTAGGGGCCCCTAAAAGGGCCGCGGGTTGCACCACTTCGTCGGGTAGAGGTATCAACGTCGAGCTGGACGTCGTTGTGCTCGTTGTGCTGGTAGTTCGCCTGGCACGCCGACTACCCTCCTGTCTACCTCGCAGCGCAAAAACACCAGCCTCGTTCACGGAGCCTGCAACAACAACGAGGTATAATGGCGTCAGCCTCTCTGATGTGGCCGCCGTTAAAAGACGTTACCGTGATTTCATTTTTCGCTAGTGCCTCGCGCTTTTTATAACGCGTCGTTCTTATCACGCTTTTGTTAATATCGACGTTCTAAGAGCGTCCCAGTTTTTAAGCATTTCTGGATAAACCGTCGCGTGACCTCCCGCAAGAAATCGCCTCAACCTACCAGTTCAACTATTATTGATTATTTACCACATACTGCTACAACTGTTTTACTCCCGACCACGATTGATTAACTAGACAGACAGGAAGATTAATTGTGGTATAATGTACTTGCACACGCTGAATTATATATAATTAAATAGTTACTGTAGTTACTGTAAAACCTTCAATCATAGAGTTTATGATCATTTTGCAATAATTTTTTGGATGCTCCTCGAAACTTGACACCTACAAGAAACAAGAGATGTGCCTTTAAATAAACGCGATGTACATTACTCTTCGTGTTTCGCCAAGATTTTCAAATGAGCTCGAAGACAGAGGGACACGTCGCATCTCCGTCCGTGTTCAAAGGGCGGATAAATTTTCTGGTCGCCCGTTACAACGGAACAACAGACGGGATTAGTCGTTCGCCCTTACCATGCTTTATCGGGAAGTAAATATTTCGAAGACCGGAGTCTTGATCGAGTTAGCGCAGCCCTGGAATTTGATAAAGCCGCGACAAAAACGCCTCGTTACGAAGGGCACTTTCCATCGGGCGAATAGGCCGCCGTTCCGCACGCTCGGTCGCCCTCACCTACTAACTGCCTGCCTATCGAGCTTGGTCGACCGAGACTTCACGGAGGAAAACTAATTATGGTTCCGATGAGCCGCAAATAGCTGCAACTACCTAACCTAACGCAACTAAGAGCTCTCTTCCCGGGACCCGCCTTCTCATCCTGCAGCCGCGAGTTCCGCAATCCTTCTGTAGCAAGCCAGCAGTTGAGGGTGACCGACAGCCCAACTTGTTTGCATGCTACGAGGCAGTTCTACAATGGCTCTTTCATTAACGTTCTCTCTTACCTTAACGGCTAAAGCATACACTCTATTCTTTTGAACCTCTGTTAAAGCAGCAACGTTAGCTTCTGCACTTCTTTAGACAAATTCTGTTGAATTCCTTTCGCGCGAGTATAAATATCTTCAGAATATCACGAACAAAATTAATTTTTTTGAAAATAAAATATAAGTAAGTATTGTGTATGTTTCTAGTCTTTTTCAAGAATAAAGCTGAAAACGATAGTGACGGAAAATAAAAATGTATGCGATATATTATAAATGCAAGCGTGTATGATTGATTATTTCTTCCTGTTTTTAAAATATTTTAGCTAATTAAATTATTCGCACTATTTCTTGTTTAATATCTTAATAACTCTAATTAATATAAGTATTCATGTTAAACAAAGAATATTAATATAAAGAAAAAATAAATATACTATACAAGTAACAAAATTTCTGATTTTATTATCTGTGCAAAGCTCTTGCAAAGCTGCAAGACTCCATAGAAGGCAAAGTGACAACTAAAGTTTTTCATATTTCTCAAGAACTATTAAATTGAAGTTCTTCAGAGTTACGAAGAGGCGTACAAGCGAAACTCCACGACGTGATAACAAAAAAATATGACTATGTTCATAGCATATTTTAAATTTGTCGCGATTAAACGATCATTGATTTGTTGTCATCAAATGTAATTTAATATTTCCGTTGACATATATGTTTTATCGCTAAACATGGAAATTGAAATGTAAGAAGGATTTAGTGATAATTGAAATTTAATAATCGCAATCTAGCGATGATAAATTGTTTGGAAACATTATTTTCACATGTGTGATTTAAAACAAATTTATTTTGAAATGTTATCATTATTTATCATAATTGTATCATTCTTTCGATCGCGATATAATATAATATAATATAATATAGATTATAATATTGAATATAATATTTGAATGCTTTTAATTCAATGAGGTAATTAATTTAAGTTCTCTCTTGTTCTCTCACTTTTTCCCACATCAATTAATAAAAATAATAGATAAGAACATTTAAAAAAACTTATACGTCCAATTCGATGGTTCTTTCTTAAAAATTTAGCGACTACATAGGAATAGGAGTAAATCATAAATCGACAATTGAAATCAAATATTTATCGGGTCGATGGACGTGCATGAAAATGATCTGATTTTAGCTTAAGCCAAAGCTAGACGCAAAAGAAAATATATCGACCAGCAGTCACGTAGCGATATCATGGTGACGGCCAATAGCGAGTGGCCTGTGTTCATCAACGTTCCCAATAGTATACCTGACTAGTTATACACCGCTATCGAGTGGATGTTGTTCGACGTTGATGCATGCATTATTCAGACGGTGTATCCATTCATTATTCATGTCATGATCAATGGATGTCAACAGACCGCGATCTGTATCTGAGCACGTTGCTATGGCAGAAAGTGAGAGTGGATGTTAAGCGAAATATACGTTGACGGGCTAGGTCCTCTCAAAGGAACGTTGCGAGGCACGATGCAACGAATTTACAATGCCGTGTACCTAGTCGATGACACGACACAGATGACGAATCTTTGATTACGACGGAAGTGGTAACCGCTTTTAGGAAACATATCGTAGCGCAAATATACCGTGAGAGCAAATTTCCGCTTTTAGACTAGAGATATTTTACTCAAACATCAACAATCAGCTTGAAGTTCTTAATTAAAAAACAAAAGAGAAATAAGGAACATAAAAGCTATGCAAGGTCTAAGGTGCGAAATATTTATATTACATCAAGTAAATTAAAAATTGAACATTATGAACAAAAAATAAATAAAAGAAAGCCAATTAACGATAGGGTGTATTTAAGCGAAATAGATCTATTCAAACCACATGATTCGCAAAATATTTTTTGCTGCGCATCATACGAGCATTTAGGTTTAATTCTTATCATAAACAGACTTTACAGACTTTACTTAAATGTTGATAAGTAAAACAAGCTGTGAGCTTCTTTCCAACCGAAGATTTCTTTTTCATGGATATCAGTTTTTAATTCTCATCTGGAATTAACGGCGTTCAGTAACCATCCGAATTCGCTCGATTGGCGCTTTCCCACGTATAATGTTTATACTTTCGTGATTCGCAACAACACGAGATGGTAAAGTGGTTAAGAGGATTTGTCACCTCGTATCATCGGATAAACTTCTTTTACATTGTGCGAGAAGCACTTTTCGCCACGAGATGGTAAATTTCCGTCCATATCCGTGCCGTCGACGTACCTCCGCCATTCTCTTGGCGTGCATCGCGCATCAAAGGTGAAATACACGAATCCGCTATGGGAATTCCGATAATTTGGAAAGAGGAGCTGGTAAACTCCAACAGGCATCGTCTCGAATCCCTGAAGCGCTAGATTTGTCGAACGTTCCAGACGAAGGCGAGCTTTGCAACTTCGTGCCGCGAAATACTACGCGCTGCATGAATCAAGTTTCGCGAACTTGCGCGCTCACTTCGGCTGTTATCTACTTATGTTATCATCGCTAATTTACCCCCCCCTTCTCTCTCTCTCTTTCTCTCCTTGACTCGCTCGCCAATCGGAATTCTTTCGAAAAATATATTTCAAACGCGAATATTCTTTCAAAGAAACGTTGTTATAATCTTAAGAGTGCATAAAAGTTTCTAATTTATGCATCTTCCATTAAATGGAAGTAAAATAATGTGTGTGTGTGTGTGTGTGTGTGTGTGTGTGTGTGTGTAAAATATATGAAATATAATATACATGCATGCAACATGATAGTCGCAATTCAATATTCAATTTATAATATTTGATTTTTCGCTAATTTTTGTTGTGAAAGGTATAACTGAGAAATGATTGATCACAAATTAATCCAACGGATACTCGTGCAATATTGTAATTAGGTCAACAGAGAATCCTATCACGCGTTTTGCTACGATATTGGAATGGAAGCGGAACGAAAATTAATCCGAATACGATCTGGTTACGAAAGCGCGTAACCAGAGCGCGGACCAGCAACAAATAAATACGGATAGTATCTGCGAGCGGGGAAAGAAGGAAAGAGAGAGATAGAGGGAGGAAGGGAGGGAGAGAGGAAGGGGAAGGAAGAAGGGGGGGGAAGGGGGAGAGGA